AACGTCAGTTGGTAGTGCTAAAGACCAGCTGGGGGTAATCGTTGCTTAGTCGGCCGTGCGAGGGAAACTGAGAAAACAACTTACCTTTCTGTGGAGGTATTTATGTTAGTGCTGGAAAACTATACTGAAGGTTATTGTCAAATCCTACAGGCTGTGGTTTCTAGTTAATCGGTTAAATTGCAGACTATGAACACACATGAAGCTGAAGCGTCATCTGCTAAGGGAATCGATGATTGGACTTACCCTCTAAAGGGAAATGCTTTTGGACTAACCCTTGACATACGTAGGAAGATAAGGGGCAGACTTGTGGGCTTACCTTTCTGAGTTTATGTATTTACTTGCATGCTTACAGGCATGCAGTGAAGAGTGAATTATCTAATATTTGCGTGAGCTACTACCAAGACTGTTGAAATTATAACTGCAGCCAACAATACTTATAATACTAACGCTAATAAGACCAATAGTACTACAAATGACACTGTTGATATTAATAATAAGTTAAAAAGCTAAGTCCAATTTACTGCTGATAAAAGAATAGTATGTCAACACTAATGATCCTAATGGGTAAGGACTCCTTGTGGGGTCTTCGAAAGGTCCCGACGTAGTACAACCACCTACTTACCAATTTTAAGTAGGTTAAATTACCCACAATCTTCTAGTTTTCTGCACACCGGCCCTCGACCCAGTAGGGATTAGATGATGGCATTGAACTACGGAGGGGTCCTCGGAAGGCCACCGCATAGAATAAGCACTTAAGTCAGTATATTAAACAAAAATGGCTTTTCAAATTAAGCGCGGGAAAAATTGATCACCTACAAATTTTAGGTAGGATGGATCCCACGATCTTCAACCTTCTTCGCTCATTCGCCTTTATTCTAGTTGGGGTTAATGGTAATCCTACAAAATGTACCTCAATGACCTCGCCCGAGGTCAGGGCACACTCCCTCGAAATAAATGCGCTCGCCGTTGGTCCGGTGGGGTTAAGCGATGATATTAAAGCGTTCTTCCGTGTCCCCGCCCGAGGTTTGAGTACGCGTCCCAACTTACCCTCGTTACTTTTTTATTTTACAGAATTATTGCGATCTTATTAGTTCCCTGCCATACCCCACCCGTCCTCTCCCCTAAAATCAGAAGCCCGTAAGACCAAGGGGCGCGCTTCGCGAGCTTCCCAGGCGTCCCCACGAGGTATTCCTACCTCCTAATACTAGTAGTCGTACTTAATAATACCAGTGCACACAGCACTGCAATACAAATATAATAATACTGATCTTTAGCAGGCCAATTCAACGAAATAGTATTCAACTTACCTGGGGATCGCTTATCTTGAAGTCACCTGCGTGATCATCGGTCCATCCGTGGATCGGCCTAAGTCAGCGCTTATCGTCGGCATGTGTAGGTGCCCTTCAGTAGGTGTCTTGGCAGCACACTGTATGTGATATAAACTTATGCTGATGTGATTTCTTATGATGGTGGTGCTGGTGAGGAGTGACATAATGATGTGGTGTAGCCGGCGGCATTTTACCACAGGTTTTCCTGAAGGCGCATGTGACCTAACAGTACCATGCGATATGTGAATGTGCGTGGGCGGTGCGACGACTATCGCGATGGTATGTCAAGGCCCCACGCACTGGCCCTTCAGTCTCTGTGCGATGGATTCGCAAGTGACCGACCAGGCCAATGCTTGATACGCATGTGCGGTCACAGCAAAGGCAGGGTGGATCGGTGGGTGTTGTGGCTGCGGAGCTGATGATGGGTGTGCAGGAAATGCTATATATCAACATCTCGGTGATTGCCGCTGTCATGTATGCGCATGTGACCTAGTAGGCCCATGCGACGTGTGAATGCGTGAGTGCAGTAAAGGCGATAAATGTGGTTTTCTTTGCTGGGTGTTGATGCTCCGGAAACCGCTTCAACAGTCTTTGTGTGATGGATTCACAAGTGACCGACCAGGCCGATGCATGTTGTGAATGTGTGATTGCAATGAGGGCAGGTTAGGCGTTGGTAAAGGGGTCAGGTTTGGTGATAGACGTGGTCGGGTGAGGGCAATGGGGCATCGGATGGTTGAGCGTTCGTGATGAGGATGGTCGTTGATGGAGTGCTAGGCACAAGAGGGACTGTTTGATTTTTTGACGCCGTAGAATTGTATGTAAACGAAGGGATTGTGCACTACGTTCGGAAAGGGCCAATACATACGTGCACGGAGGGCGCGTTGACAGCGCAGGCAAGTTGAGAGAGCTTGGGCGTTGACAACTTTCTTCTGTTAGGTTTGTAATTTGCGGATCGTCTTTTTTGCCTTGGTGGTGGTGATCCGCCTGGCTTCGTAGATAGTTTCGCCGGTTTTCACTGTTCTTCGCCACGAAGATCGGTCCTGTGCGAGTTTCTTCCAGGTCACCGTGTTGATTTGAAGGCGCTTCAGGGAATTTTTCAGGGCGTCCTTGTATCGCCTCGTTGGTCCACCCTGGCGGCGAACCCCCACAGTGACATCATCTTAGAACAGCCGCTTGGGCAGGCGTTGGTCGTCCATCCACACTAGATGGCTGCTCCATCGCTGTTGCAGTTGCCTCAGCATGGTGGGGATACTAAGAATTCCCGCTCTATCCAGGATTTCCGTGTCCGGTATTCTATCCTGCCATCTGTGCGTTAGTATTGGGTGGTGGCAGCCGAGATGGAAATGGTTCAACTTCCAAGCTTGGTTGTCGAAGACGGTCCAGGTCTCCGCTCCGTACAAGAGCGTCGTGAGGTCGATGGCCTTGTACATCTTCACTTTGGTGGAAAATGCAAGGGCATGACGGTTCCACACAGGCTTGAAACCGGTCAAAGCCTTAGCTGGCTTTGAAGATCCGGTGAGAAACGTCGTCGTCGATTCTGGTGCTGTGAGCTAGCGTGCTGTCAATATAAGCGATGTCGTTCATCGTTTTGTGCTCGGCGCCGTTAATATTGACCCGCTGAACATGAGCGTTAATCCTGCGCGGCGGCTAGTGTAGGACCACCGTTTTATCCGTGTTGATGGTCAACCTGTCTGATCAGTCTTTATCTGGAATGTGTTCCTACTGCTCTCTTGTTCTAAAATTCTCACCAACGGGGCATTGAGTAGACTGTTTCCATTATATTTTTTATTACAATGAAAACCGTTGACCGCATCAACACACGACCATAATTTGTCTACAATTTGCGTTTGTAGCGTTGGAACGGGATTATAATAAAGGGCACATTTCGTAATATTGATACTGTTAGGGTAATGGATAGTTTTTCGTTTGTATGAATTTGAAATAAAGTTTTTTCCTGTTTCCCGAAGAATTTCTTCTATCAAGTTTTTCGTTTGTTGTCAGTCGCTGGAGGTGACCATAATCAGTTGCGTCGCTCTATCACCTACCTTCTTCATTGCGTTTGCTGGCACGTCTCCCGTCTTACCGGTATATCTCTCTCCCTCAGCTGTCCCATCTGAAATTGGTTTTACTGCCATCCTATCGTTACCTACTACGAAGCCATGCGTGTGACGGACCGTCGTGTTGTTGGCCGATAAATTTTCCGATATTCTCCGCTCAGTTTTAGCGATAATTTCTTTTTACCTTGCGCGATTACCAAGTTTTGTCGTCACGATTAAGTGCTTTTCCGTTTTTCGGTAGACCTAATGAAAAATTTCGAACTTTTATGGAAATATTTTTCAATAAAATTCTTCTTTGCCCTCGTAAAAGTTTTAAGTATCTCTGAACTAGAGGTTTTCGGCCGTACTAGAATTCTTCGCAGAGTTTTATCAGTAATTATGTGAGTGATAAACTGGGTACGTTACGTTCAACTTTGACGCCATGCTATTAAAGTTATAGAGTACGTCAGCTTTATGGCGCCGCTTACCATTGGTCGTCCTACTCTTGGAAACTCAGCTATTTCCCGACAATCAAGCTATAATTTGCTGTCATTTTTCTATCCTAATAATTTTACAAGATAGTGGTTGATAAAAGGTTTTACATTTTAATACAGTTAGTTCCACAAAATTCGTTGACCTCTGCCCACCTGTTAATTCTCTATGCGCCATCGCATTTATATTCACCATTAGCATTGCGTCACATTGGTTGAAAACAGGGGGTGGAGGGGGAGACCACCAATTCAGTTTAAATGTTCGAACTCATTGCTTCCGTAATTAATACCTAGTTGTCTGTTAGATCGCACCGT